AATACTTTGCAAACTGTTGCTCCCAGTTCACCACAAACTTTTGGAAAGCTATTTAAGAAAAGATACAGCTGATCTAGACAGGGCATGGCAAATATAATCATTCACAAAACCCTGTCCTCTAAATTGGTGGAGAACATATTTCACACTGGAGGGCTTAGCTCAAATCTACAAATGGAAACGTTTGAGGGTATAGTAACATTGATTAGGGGCTTGTTTTGGAGACAGTCTATTGACAATGAAACCTCTAATGTAGAAGCACTTATATCTGAAAAAAGTGTTTTTGCTGGCATAGCTTATTTCACTCACCAAACCAGTGTATATTTTTTGCCAGTAGAAGCTGCAATTACACAATAAGGGTTGGTCAGTATAGCTGTATTGAACAAAACTTTTCCAGCAAACCTTCACTAGCATACACCTCAATGTAAGTACAATCCTTCAAGAAAGGTTATGAATGAGTTACTTCTCTTTTTATCAATATACAGTCCTGCACAATTTTAAAGAGAACAGTGTTTTGTTGTTTGACTCCCATTGAAATGATGAAAGTTAATTGCTGTTAAAGGGAAACTCAGACCTGACAGGGGAATAGGATTTTTCAATCAATGGTCATAGACAGAGACAAAATATTTGATACAATAAATGGATGGAATGAGAGAAGCCAATTTGTACCTCATAAATTAGAGGAATTGTTCAAAAGCAGGTTTGTGCGCATGCAGTGCTGTCAAGGCCCCTGAGAGTGAGGGGGTGAGCTGATTAAGTACTGGCCTGAGGATATCTTTAACTTATGCAGAAAACATTTCTAAGATTGATTTAAAACACTGAGGAAATTAATGAGTGCAAGTTATTTGTAATAAAAGGCAAGTTTCTCCTATTGTCTTCCTGGAGATCCTCAGGTGGAAGGTGCTCCACACCATACTCACATTTAGATACCAGTTCGACTTTAAGTAAGGTTTCCTGGGTATTTACTGTTTTCAGAGTACATCACAAATATTGAGGTAAATCTCTCTCTCTCTCTCACTCTCTCTCTCAGCCATAACACTTAAAAACTATGCATGTTTTCTCTTTGATAAGTACTAACTTGGTATCTGCATATTATTTCCTACAACAAGAATAGGGAAATAAAGCAAATGTTGCAGATTCTGAGGTAAGCTTATATAAGGCAAAGGTAGTATGTTTTAAGAGCAACCATTTTATGTGTAGCAACTACCACTATAAGATTTCAAAATATAAGATTACTGAATTAAGCCTCATTTCTCTGAGGAAAGTATCCCGTTTATCATAGAGCTGGAAGAGAACTCAGGAGGTCATCAAGTCCAGCCCCGTGCCCAAGGCAGGACCAATCCCAACTAAATCAACCCAGCCAGGGCTTTGTCAAGCAGAGACTTAAAAACCTCTAGGGATGGAGATTCCACCACCTCCCTAGGTAACCCATTCCAGTGCTTCACCACCCTCCTAGTGAAATAGTTTAGAAATGAGGGAAACTGAGGTAAGTTCATTTTAAGGCAAAAAGTTTTTAACATGGGTGTGAAAACTTAAGCACTTTAATTCATATGAAGGTATCTAATTGTGTGGCCTGATTCTCAAAGGTGGTCTGAGCTCACACAGCCTTGAAGTTCAGCACCTCTAATAATCAGGCTAATTACTTATAGCTTTTGATGACAAACTTAAATGCCAAGTTTGGAAGTTTTAACTTTAGTCCAGACTTTCAAAAGTGATTAGTGTTTTTTGATTTCTCAAGTTTTCAGATGCTTGCAACATGTAAGAGGTCTGATTTTTCAGAATGTATGTGTTCTATTATTTCTGAAAATCACAGCCACTTAAGAGATCTAAAGTTGGACATTTAAACAAAGAGAACACTAAAATTACAAATCACTTATGAAAATCTCAAAGTGACTTGTCTTAGCCTATATCTACAATAGGAAACTATTTCAAAATAACTAAATTTGATTTAATAACTCCCAATTTCACAAAATCAAAATAGTGCATCCCAACTATGGGGAAGCCTCAAAATTAGTCCAAGGCAGGCTCCATTAATGTGGATGCACAACCTTGACTTAAAGCCCCAGGCAGTTCTATTGGGGAGTAATTAGTTCAAATTACTCTGGGGAGTAGTTATTTCAAAATAGTGACCCTGGAGCATCCACACTAACACTATTTCGAAATAACTTTTTCAAAATAGTGTTACTCCTTGAGGAAAGCAGGATTGCAGATTTCGAAATAAGCAGCCCCTTATTTTGAAACAAAAGGCTTGGTGGCATGGACCCTCAGCTTATAAATTCGACCTAAGGGGGGTATTTTGAAATAAAGCCCTAGTGTAGACCAGGGGCTTAGATACCACAGGAAGTTTGTGGCAGATTTGGATATAGAAATCCTTAACTCCCAAAGTACAGTTCCAGGCTTTAACTTTCCCTTACCCTCTGAATACACAACCATCTTACATATCTGGAAAAATTTCAGAGATCTGTTCTCCTTTCTAGGAGGGCAAATACTAACATTATATACTTAGTCTAAAGGGAAGGCTAGGACTCTTTTTTCCCACAATTAATAAAAATCTACATCCTATGTAAGAAAGGAGTATTTAATCTTTTTATGGTGCAGCTACACAGTGTCCTAAACTCAAAATAAGATATGCAATTTGCGCTATTCAAATTGTGTATCTTATTTCGATTGAATTTTGAAAGAGCGTATATCAAAATTTGGTGCATCTACACAGCTTAACCCTTGTTCCTATCTTGAAATAGTGGACGCATTCAAAAGATGTGAGGTAGCTATTTCAGGATACTTCTGGTATCCCAAAATAGCCCCGCTGTGTAGACGTACCCCTATTCTAAACACACTACAGAAATATTTGGTTTTCATCCACATATTTGTAAATATTTCATTCATGACAGTGGGATAGTCTATCTGTGATAGAATAGCTTAATCTACATTCATTAGGGTTTACATTCCATTAGGAGTGACAGAAATCTTCAGTGCTCTGTAGGGAGCCCTGTCTGGGGTGTGGTTTGATTTGTGCTGTCATTGCATAAATGATCTCCATGAAGATTTCTGTCTCAAAACACACAGAATAAACACAAATTAGAGCTCCGCAGCTCACAAATTTGTCACTCTTTTCCTTACATGTTTTGCCAAAAAGATAACTCTCAGAAAGGCAATTTCACTGCACTGTCTATCAATAGAGGTTTATATGGAATGTGTGCTGGTTTAGTAATAGCAGTGCTTTCTTCCTTTGCTTTTTAGAATTCTTGGAGTAAATACTGTAAAAAAAACCTGAAATCTCAGTCTGAAAACAAATCGGAAAGCATCATATCTCAGTAATATTAATTGCAAATATTATTTTTCTCCAGACAGATGATCCAATTCTGGGCCCCCATTTAGGTTAAGTAAATAATCAAACAACTCTTGGAGTAAAATGCTGCATTGTCTGAGCAAGAAGGAAAGAATCTGACCCAGTGTTCTTAAAATATTTACATAATCTTATTCTTCAAACAGGAAGATAAACTGTCAGACCAAGCCTTATATTTCTCATGGCAAAATGTGTGCATCAGGTTTTAAAAGAATAATTCTTCACATGCAGTTTGCAACTCCGAGTACTACTCTTTGTTTTTACCATTCAGTTTGAATGTCTAAATTTTCTAGAAACAGACTTTGAATGATTTTACAGATTATTTGCTTGCATTTGTTTTTTATTAATTGTGTTCACTCTTTTCCAAACACTCCAAGGATGACTCATTGAGAGATTGATTGTGTTATGGTTACTCATCTAGGTGAGCCTTTACTCACATAAGTATTTTTATTTATGCCAATACAACTACTCACCTGAGTAAGAGCTTGCCAACATGAATAAGGGTTGCACAACTGCAACCTAAATCTTTGTTGGAATAACTATTTTTTGAAGGCTGCTAATACTCCCAAATTATAATAAATTAGGAAAGCAAAACAGCTGAAGATTGACGCTGTGAAGCCAATGACATTCAAAAGCATTTGGGTCTCTTTAACCTCAACAGCTTTAAATAACCTTTAAATCAAATGTATGCACAAACATTCCTCCTTGGGTTGCCAAGCATCTGTGCCAGCACTGCAAGCAACCTCCAGGGTTATAAAGTTATTTGCACAGGTTTATTGGTCACACTTCTACATCAGAAAACCTGCAGATTGCCTTTTGCCTGTCAGTGTTAACCAATCTGATTGCCGTAATGAACTGTGCTTACAGACATCTAGCAGAGATGGGCACTTATATTTATTACTTTTGATGTGCTTATTATATGAAAAGCTGTAATACCAGACTTGACATTCTCATATATAATTTTTTCTTTGGTAGATCTGTATCTCTTTTCATTTTTTTGCCTGCATCATAAACATTGCTGTCTTCATAAATATTTTTAAGTGACCCAATTTTCTTTCTAGGACTTGACAGTGGTTTATTATAAATTTCACTCTGACATTGAGATTTGAAGACTATTGTAAATAGCAGGGTAGCTGCTAGTGCTTCTACTGTTATTGTTAAAATCCTGTTACATTTCATTTATGGTTCTTATCTATTTATGATCTGATCTAGTGCTGATCAGAAAAGAAAGCAAAACTACCATCTATCTTCAGTTTGTCACATGTGCCTAGTTATAACAATCATAATGTCAGATTTTCTGCAATCTGTATGAAAGCTATAGCAAAAATAAGAAAAGAACGCTAAACAACTTGAAATGTTTAAGTCTGACAATGTGCTATGATTTTTAGTTATGTGGATTCTAAAATGAGCTAACGTCTTGAGCATGTTCCCATTGATGTTAATGGCAAAACTTCTGTTGACCTCAATAAGGATCAGTCCTCTAGCTTACCTTTTGCAGAACTAAACTGTTATCCATATGCAGATGTTCACTTAATACAACTTTATATAATGAAGAGTAAAATTTTACTCATAACAAATAATGAGGGCAACAGTTATTCTCACATTTCTAGTAATAAATTTCCTCAAGTAATTTATCAGCAAATATATGAATACTCACAGGTCAGTTAAGAGTCTGTTAATCCATGAAGGGAAACCTTAGGAACATCTGAAGACTTGTACTGGGAAGGAAACTATAGCAATTCTCTGGTGACTAGCCTGGTAAAGGTCCATCTTTTGTGCTTTATTCTTTTTGACAACTAGACTATGAGTGCTAAATTTCCTAGTGTGATTTTACACTCCATTCCAAACAGCTATGTAGGGTTTAAGGTGTGTGGGAGTTCAGTTAAGTGGGCTTGCATTTTTGTGGAAAAGCACTTTTCAGAGAAGCTGGGTGATTTTTCCCCCCTCCAGATTGTGGAACTGCATACTAAAGGAAGAGCTTGTGTTTTCTTTTTTCCCTTTTCCATCTAAGTGTTGTGCTGGGCCTCAGGAGGCCTACGAACACACAAAACCTCCTACTGAGGCTGTCACTTGACTGACAGCAAAAGGCTTCTGGGGAGATGGACGGACGTGAGTAGGTGGACATGGAAAAATAGAGAACTGAAAAGATTAAATGAAAAAGAGGAGAATGCAAGTACTAAATCACAGCTCTTTACTGGTCTCTAATGCATTCATGGTTATTGCAATTGTTAGCTATGTCCATGTCATGTAAAATAACAACAAATATGTGTCAGTTTTATTGTCAATATCAGATGTTTAACAAGACGTACATTAATTACAAAAAAACATTTTAAACCAGCCATATATGTAAATACCCAAGTGTAATAATCAGCTTACTAATATAGTTTGATAATATTTTGGAATATTATGATAAGAGAGCAAAATAATATAAAAAAAATACAAATTTAATATGAAATAAAAAGCATAATATAAAAGTAATATAACGGGCAAAATATTTTAAGTGTCCTTCAGAAACAAAAATCATCCTGAAATGTGTTTATGTGTGTGCATCAATATTTGTGATTTCTAGGCTTGTAAACTGTTCTAAATATTGTGGTCGTGGTTGACCTTGATAAAATAGACATGACTGAATACTTAGCACAACACCATAATTATTAGATGATGTACTTCAAGTGAAAATGGTTTTAAAAGTTTTGAATGTGAATAATAAGACTTAATAACACATATAAAGCAAACCTGGCTATGTTTTGCTGAGCTGCATTAAACTGGCTATCTAACATGATTATAGAGCAGATATGATTAGTTCCTATCAAAGATGAATCACGTCTGATAGTGGGACACAATAATGTAACTAGGCAGGTTAACAACAGAGGAGATCACTCTGTTAACAGTTGGTTTAAAAATAGCAGATTCCAATTGCTGTAACAGAATGTTAAGGGCTAAATTCTGAGATTTTCCTTATTACTGTATAATCTGGAGTTAATTTGACACAATGTAACTGAGAGTAGACTTTGGTCTAAATACCAATTACATATGTTACACCTGAAATGAGTATAGAGTTGTAATAAAAGATACAAAGCAAGGAAATTGTGGCAGGGGTTTTAAAGAATGTTTACTGAGGACCAAACTATTAGGAGAGGAAAGTATGCTGAGGTTTTGGTAGAATTGTGCATGTTAAGTGTAGTCCATCTAAAGTCCCTTTTTTGCATTGTGTGGTCATTTTATGTGAAAGCCCCTTATCCTAATAAATAAAAAAAGGATACTATTACAATAAAATCTTTTTTAAATTAGTTAAAATATTGTGTAGCTCAGACTGATTTTCCTGACACTACTACAAAGATTTGTATTTTGTTACCAAAAAGGGAGGCGTTTTTCCTGAACATTTCATTGCTTCCATAAAGTATCCATTGACCTAGAGTAGATCTGTTGGATGTCTCTGAGGTATGAAAATAGAAATAGTCAGGCTGCTTTAATTAATCATTGGCTTAATTTTTGTATAAATAGACAAAAAAAGAGATAAACTTCACCTGCCCCCCACATTAGGCCAAGAAATCTTGTAGATAATTAAATTCTGGAATGACAACATTTTAAAAGCTGCATTCACTTACAAGCTCTATTTTCAAAGGTCCATTATCTGAATAGCCACTTAAAGGATTTATTTTCTACTGCAAGAATGAAGTATACTAGCTATTAGAATTATCTTTAGGATACTGCTAATAGTGGATGGGAGGGGTTTGGCAGGAACCTGACTATAGCAACATCATTACATAAACAATATTAACACACTTTAAAATATATATTAGCTATTTAAACATGCTGACAAAAATTATCCTAAATGAAGCCCAACAAACAAAAACAAAACATAAAACAACAATTTAGTCTCTGACTTTGGATGCAGAAAGTTTATTAAAATATTGTTCATAATATATTTTTTCAAGATATTGGCATGTGGAAAATGTAGCTTATTAATCAAAAACAGTTTATATTATGTTTGTGTCTTTTGTGTTCACAGAATAATGATAGTAAGATAAAAAAAATTACAGCTGTAGTTTTGTGAACAATCTTGCATCTACAAGCTTTCTTTGAGTAAACTAGAGTTAACACTCAGCAATAATTTATTTTACATCACTCAACAAATGTTTTTAAAAACAAATGTTTTTAAAAATCTGGATTTGAGCCATTAAGGCAAGAAATTTGCACTGAAGGTATTAAGAGCCTGATCCTGCACTTATTCCAACAGATCTCTGGCAGAGGGAATCAAATTCTGAGCCAATTTTGCATTTCATGTATGTCCAAAATTCCTATGAAATTCAAAGGAAGTTTTGAAGGTATGAGTAATCAGGACTAGAGAAGGAATCCTACTTATACAGAAGTCAGGAGGAATTTTGCCACTGACTTCAATGGGACCAGGACTTCACCACACATTTCTTTGTTTCGTTTTGCCCACTAGACTTAACGATTACAACTTATGTGGGCCCATTTCTGCCAAGATTTAACGTCCTGCACAGTGATTATTGTACTAAGCAGTCTCATTGAAAACTCGAGGTGTAGGATCATCTATTACTTCTAGACTATATTAGCAGAGAGGAATATAATAGGACAGATTCTTCATTCCACATGCCACAAAACTCATTAACCCCCAATATAACTTTATGCATAGAGTAAGCTAAGGATGAACTTCCAATCCTTATCTAAACTAAACCAAATCTTAAATATTTTAATTATTTCTTTAAGGTGCAAAGAAACAAAGCATTTCTAAAGCCATTTGCTTCCAATGCAAATAAAGGGTATTTAGAACCCCAGCAGAGTCTTAATTAGCTAGTATTTTAATGCATTTTAAAGAAAAGCAATATATTTTAAAACCTGTTTAATCATTGATTGTGTGAGAAATGTTAAATAAAAAATATTATAATTGGTGTATATATATATTTAATAACATTACACAAGCTGTCACATTGGAATAAATCATTCTGAGATTTCTCTTATATTCTCTTTTGAAAGAAAGGAAATTCAAAAGAGAAGTTTGGATAATTTTAAAACAAATATACTTTTAAAGAGCACTGTTTACCACAACAACGCTAGTTAATAAACCAAATACACAGGGATCTTTAAAAGCATAGACTTATTGTAAATATGCAATTAGATATCTTTAAAAACTCTCCTAGTGGAGATTTTTCAAAGCTGTGCCAGGGATCAGCCACATATACCTATTAAAATCAAAATCTTCAGCCCTGTTTTGAAAATGTCAGTGCATTCTATTTTTAACCATTGTCAGGAGGCTTGGAATCTCTGTTTAAAAAAGAATAAAATAAATGTGTATATACATGTGAGTGCACGTGTGCTTGTATTTGTGAATCTGTCTAACCACTATGTTCCTTAATGTTCAGAGAATGAAAAATAAATGATTTTTTTCCTATAGATTGTAGCACTTCCAAACAGCTGTTACATCAGTCCTTCCAGTGAGTATTACAGACTCCTCCTTCTGCAGATTATTTGTCGGATGTAGGGGCTATTTTTTTCTTTTAAAACTCACTGCATGTAACTGAGAAGAATGCACTGATTTGAGGCAGCTGCAATGGGAAAGGTTTCATTTAACATTCAACATGCATATTCCAAAGAAGTGGGAAAAAAGTCATATTACTACAGTTTCATTGCTTTTTTAAAAAACTCCCACAGGCTGCTGTCCATGTACATTAAAAAATGACTGAATTTATATCTTTGCAGAAAACTGAGGGCCTTATCCTCAGGGGACATTCCTACTGGTGTGCAGGATCAAGCCTTGCATTCATAAATGACACATGGAAATTGCTTTACATTTGTTTATTGCGTGTCTTTTACCTGAATCATTTGGAGGGGGAAGAGCAGGTGGTGATGGCAGGGTTGGTTGGAAAATACCTGCCATTTGCTGCAATCTTGCACAGTCTGAAGTGTGAGGAGAGGTGCAGAAAGAGGCAGAGAACCTGCAGACATACCTTTGCTGAACAAAGGAATAAAATTAATCTATGGCAGTGTCCAGGGATAATTTAGCAGCACCCAGAGAACAGTATGAACTTTCCCAGCAGCAGAGAAATGCACCCTCTTCTCCTTCCAATTAGAACACTGTTTTTGTTCTATAAGATGGAGACTCTGGTACACATTTGGGCTGGAGTCCTTTTAAAATTCCAATTAAGGCAATCCCCTTTTTTATTTAATTGTAAGAGAGAGGGGAAAATGCCACTGGAAAACTCCTTATTTCAGTTACATGTATGTGCAAATATTAAATGCTCAGTTTTAATTTTTTTTCTACTTTTTTGTTACCATCTTCTTTTCCCCTTTGGAAAAATGTGAGAAAAGCCATTTTTCTGGCTTGTAGCCTGCAGAGGCTGCAACTAGTGAGCTGCTAGCTTCTAGCAATAATGAAGGCTAAGGCAATAATAAGGGTTACTGGTAATTAATAACCCCGATTTTAGTCCCTTTGCCAGATGACTATTAGTAGGCAACCCTCTCTCCAAAACCTCTCTAGCCTTCAGAACTATCCCACATGTGGTGATTACAACACTTTGATCTATTGTGGGTTTTCCAGCACACTTACTTACAGAAATGATGGCGCTCTCCCCCTGATAACGCACCCCTGCAACATTAACCTTTTGAAGCATTAAGCATCTGCAGGGAACGCGTTGCATGGATTACGCGACCATTCATTTCTGGACACCAGAACATGATGTGGACGCGAACACCTGGACAAAAAGAATTCCCATCCTTTGACTTGTCACGTTGACGTCTTTGTCTGGGTGCCCTCGCTAGCTTTCGGTCCACCAGGTGGTGCTGTTGGTTTGCGATGAAAACTCTTCGCCGGTAAAGGAGACCTGTGCTTTCCTCCCCAGTCTGTGCAGCCAGCCCTGAGCGCGCAGGATTGGTGAGGAAATCCCGACCCCACGCATTACGGCACAAACAAGCAAAAGGACAAGAAACTGCAAACTTCCCTCCCTCGTCCTGGTTAGGGTAGGATGCTCCAGGATAATACACATCCAAGAGCACGTCCTCTCCTGGCGAGACTCAGCTGTTCAGTGAGGCTGAGCCCCTTACCTTAAAACGAATACCGGCGCGTGTGTGAGCGAGTGTCAGGCTGTTATTTGCAAACAGCAGAGGAAAAAAACACCCCCTGCCTTGCCTTCTGAGGCATGGTGCTATTTTTGCAATGTGCATCATTGTCAATGGGGTTTAGTGCTCACTGACCAAGTAAGAGAAAATCGGTGGCGACGCCGCAGCTAATGACGGCGGTGCGAGGAATCACTGCGGGTGGATCGTGCACACTGCGCCTCTCTTCGATTTTTCTATTTGTGTGTCCTCCAAGGAAATCGCTGGACACAAGAGAAGTGGCGCGACTTTGAGGAGTTGTTCGCGTCAGGGACTTCTCATTCCTCAGTGCCCTCCTGCTATTGACAATCTGCGCCCTTCCCCATTTCTCGTGTAGTTAGTTAGTTGTTCGTCAGTCACTCTTTGAATCCCCCTTTTTTTCTTTTCGTTGGAGTTGAGGTAGATCGCGCGACCAAAATGTGACATTTTTGCTGGATTCATGGGGACAGATTAAATATTTTACTCCAAGAAAGAGGTGGGGGGGGGAGGGAACAGGGGGGTTGTTTTTTTGCTTCCCAAGGAAGAGACACTCACTCCGTCTTGAAGCACATTACTTGTGCGTGTAAGGAGGATTGGGGGCTGCAGGCGGAATCGCATGAAATTAACAGCTAGGCCCTACCAAATAAGTAAATTCGATGTACCCCTTTTGTGCATCACTTCCCTTTCCGAACCTAACCAAAGTGCAATTCAGAATAATACAGATCGCTCCGAAACAAGTCCCGCTCCCTCCGCACTCAATTGCTATGGACTTTTGCTCGTGGGCTGAAAGTTTTTTTTTTTAACCCAACAAGCAATCAAACCCCCTCAGGCCGTTAATTTTAGGGCAAATGTGCTAATCGCAGCCGCCCCGAGGAATCACCGCCAAGAGATCGCTTGTTAGCGCACAAAACTCAAGGAGGAGCGTCGCAGTCACCTCCTCCCGCTCCCTCCGCACTCAATTGCTATGGACTTTTGCTCGTGGGCTGAAAGTTTTTTTTTTTAACCCAACAAGCAATCAAACCCCCTCAGGCCGTTAATTTTAGGGCAAATGTGCTAATCGCAGCCGCCCCGAGGAATCACCGCCAAGAGATCGCTTGTTAGCGCACAAAACTCAAGGAGGAGCGTCGCAGTCACCTCCCCGTTTGCCAAGCCTGGAGACAAGAGCCTTCCTCTACCCAGGCCACGGCTGCCTGAAGGGTGGCACGGACCCATTCTAGCCAGTCGCCCCGTGCGGAGGAGCCCAGCCCACGG